AGAGCATAAACGGTATTGTAGGCGCTGGCGTTTGCCGTACTAGGCGAACACTCTACAGCCTGCCAGACGCATCAGATCATAAATAGTATTGTGGGCGCTGATAGCGTAAACAGTATGGCGGGCGACGGTGGCCATCCCATACCCGATGGCGTGGGCAACAAGACTAGGCCGTGCCCGTATGCACTCTCTCTTTTTCTCTCTGACTTATAAGGTCATCCCCTTCAACTATAAAAGGAGATGCGCTCTCTGCCGATGACCAGAGGACTCGAGGAGGACGACGGCTAACAACTCAACAGCTCTAGAAGGAGCAAAGACAACTCAATAGCTATAGAACTCGACAGCTACATAGTCTACACGCTCTCAACATCTGATAAGCTCGGACACACAGAGCATACGCTCTAATACTTAGCGCATGTTTGAGCATCAGTCACTCTCTTCCACTCGTATCAGAGTACGACCGGACCTCTAACACCCCCCTTCTTATTCCTTACTCGTTTGTAACCCCACAGCAAACTTCAAGTACCTGGGCTCAGGAATAAAGTCACTGACCGACTGAAACTGGATGTAGGGCACGTTGCTTGAACCAGTATAAATCATGTTGAAAGGACCTAGGATGCCGTCTAGAGGGGGGTGAATAGGCGTTTCTAAAAATTAACACATTTTAATACGGAAACGATTAGTAAAGGGAGTTTTCAAAATAGAAACTCCAAATAAGAGTAATACCATCCCTCACAAGTTAGCCACAGTGTATGTAAAAGATACTAAATAAATCTAGGAGCCACAACCCTGCAACGCAACACAACGATTAGTGCAGTGAATAGATAAAACAGAGCAGGGGCCAATACCGGACATGTCCGGTAGAGGTACCGGACACGTCCGGTTCGATCGAACACTTCAGGCAACATCGGACACGTCCAGTAGTTATACCGGACACGTCTGGTATACACGAGTTCTGCAGTGTGACCCCTAACTTGCTCCTTTTGATTCCAAACTTCAATCCAACCTGTAGGCACCCACTAAAGATAGTGCCACACACAGGTAACCTACACAAGAGCTAGAGCAATACAAATATCAAATGAAATGCGAATTGAGACACGATATTTGTTTTACCAAAGTTCGGACTCGTTCGAGTCCTACTCTCCGTTGAGGGGGCTGCGGGCGACCCAGCGAAGGTCAACCCTAGAGGGTACCACGAAGGTCACTCTAGCCGGAGTCTTTTTCAACTCATTTTCCTTCTTCCACTAGTTGATTCTGAGGCGGCGGAATCGACCATTACAAACTTTCTAAGGCACACCACAATCTCTCGGGTGCTCTTCGACGACGTCTAACCGTCTAGGACCGAAGAGTCCAAGAGTAACAAATTTGAATCACGAGATTGATAATATGCACAAGTGCTCAAGTGGTTGGATTGCTCTCTTTTTGAATTTCTCTCAACCCACTAATGGATTTGGCAATTTGGATCACACACTAAGTAAGAGAGGATTTGAGAGAGTTGGCAAAGCTCAAAAACGTGCAGAGGATTAGTAGAATCAGTAGCCTCCAAAGGTGAAGGCTTGGAGGTATTTATAGCCTCTTTAAAAAACTAGTTGTTTTCTAGCCGTTGGAATACCGGACACGTCCAATATGATTTGCACTGCGCCAACAGTCACTGAGTTAAAGTATGCGAGGAGTCAGAACTCTCGACGCTTCCCGGGACTTTCGACCGTCGGAACTCCTGACTCACGTCGAAACTCCCGATGAACCCATTTGAAAACTAGCCGTGGGGCTCTAGTCGGCCATACCGGTCAAGCGCGAGACGTCGGAACTCCTGACGATTGTCAAAACTCCCGACCGTCGAAACTCCCGACTCACTTCGGAACTCCCAACCCTCGACTCATTTGAAAACTAGTCGTTGGGCTCTGGCCTACTATACCGGACACGTCCGGTGTGACCAGACAGTCAACTCTCCAAGTCAGTTAAGTGTTGAGACATCAAAACTCGCGACGATTGCCAGAACTCCCGACCGTCGGAACTTCTGACTCACGTCGTACCTCCCGACGTGAGTCAGAAGTTCCGACCCCCCGAGAACACCAAGAATTTTACCATGGCTGGGCAAATACCGCACACGTCCGGTTCCGGTATTGCCAGACCAGAAAAAAACAAGTTAGCTCTTTTGGCTCTCAAACACTCAAAACTCACATGGGTTGGCATGAGCACTTATGAATGATTATCTATCAACATGATGCATCCCTTTTAATAGTACGGCATACCTATTAAACTCAAGATCAAAGGGAAAATGAATTTATACTGCTTGAGTTGATCTCTTTTGAATTGATGCCCTCTCTTTCAATCTTCATCAAGTAAGGGTGCCAACATGTCAACTTTGATCTCTTTCACTTGAGCATAACCATCTTGAGCACGTGACTTGATTCCATTCATTAAATATGAATAATTCCAAATGTATCAAGTCACTTCCATCAAACACTCCATTAGTAATTTGATCCTCCACATCAACATGACCATCAAAGCTTGATTAGTACCTCAACTAAATGCAACTACTTCCTTCTTCACCCTAGCTAGATTCTTCGGCTGTCAAGCCGTCGCTTGCCCTTCACCCTTGCTTAGTACCTCGAAATATTTCCTTACTATCTTCATCATCTCAAGCCATCAAGTCATATCTTGTGTTGAATCATTCATTCATTTGTATTTGTTATCCTTTTCATTTTAATTTAGCAAGCTTCAAATATGAGACCATTCCATATACAATCCCCCATGTCTTATTAATTAATTCTTACCGTGCTTGCTTTCACATAGTTCATGAAAATCTCACAATAAATAAGCCTTTGCATGAATTCTATTTGCATTGTTATCTTGTATTTGAACTAGATTGTTTCCAACAATACATCATTTTGGCTTTAATTAAGTACCTGTGAGATAATCTATTACCTGTCCACACTTAGCAAATGGGTTAGACCTTTAATCACGTTGTCATTCAATCATCCAAAACCCACTAAAGAGGTTAGATGCACTTTCACCTGTGTCATCGTGTGCTATGCCACATCCGATCATAACGCAAAGCAAAACTATAAATATTTACTTGTTGGCCACATTTCGCACCGACAGACTGCGATACAAAAATACAAAGAAAATATTTATAGCTCATGAAAACATTTCTTGAGATAGATTAGATTTTATATACTAAATGTTGTCCCTTCATTTTTTTCATCCTCACAAAAAGATTTGGAATCCTTCGCAAGAAGATTTCGATATATACTTATTTAATATAAGAAAATGGAACAACAAATGCAAGGGATAGATTGTGATACGAAAAATCTAAATAAAATATTTAGAACTCGTGAAAACATTTCTAGAGATAGAGGTTAGATTCGGAATACTAAATGATGTCCCTTAATTTTTGCATCCTTGCAAAAAGATTTGGAATCCTTCACAAGAAGATTTTGATATATATTTATTTAATATAATAAAATGGAACAATAAATGCTAGGGATAGATTGGGATATGAAAAATCTAAATAAAATATCTAGAGCACGTGAAAATATTTCTAGAGATAGAGGTTAGATTTGGGATACTTAATGATGTCCCTTAATTTTTGCATCCTCGCAGAAAAGATTTGGAATCCTTGGCAAGAATATTTCGATATATATTTATTTAATATAATAAAATGGAACAATAAATGCTAGGGATATATTGGGATACAAAAAATCTAAATAAGATATTTAGAGCTCGTGAAAACATTTCAGATAGAGGTTAGATCCGAGATACTAAATGTTGTCCCTTGATTTTTGCATCCTCACAAAAATTTGAAATCCCTCACAAGAAGATTTTGATATATATATATAATATAAGAAAATGGAACAATAAATACTAGGGATAGATCGAGATACGAAAAATATAAATAAAACATTTAGAGTTCGTTAAAACATTTCTAGAGATATAGATTAGATTTGAGATACTAAATGCTGTCCCTTAATTTTTTGCGTCCTCACAAAAATATTTGCAATCCCTCGCAAGAAGATTTGGATATGTAAATTTAATATAAGAAAACGGGACAATATTCTGAATACGAACGTTGCATTGAATGATCCTTCCATTCCATCTTCGCCACTTGGCGAAGACCACACAAACAGGCTGTTTGTTGGTTGGTTTCTGGATTGATAAGCTCGACTGATACTGATTTGTTGTGAGAGAAGAATACTATTGGCTGACTGATAAGCTCTGGCTGAAACAACAAGTGAACATGCTGAAAATTGATTAGTGTAGTATTTCCTTAGCATCGAAGAATTTGTTTGGTGCCTGCGGGCTGTGGGCACCGGATGACCGGACGGCAGCTAGTGCAGCACGCATCCTTCCCACCAAACAAGCGTTTCAGTCCCACCGACAGGTGGGCCACGCCTGCAGCGGCGACAAGACCAAGAGCGTGACGCGGGTCGTCGGAGGCGCGCGCGCGTCTAAACAAAAAGCAACCCGCCGCGGGCGGCTCCGATCCGGCGCTCCTCCATCCTCCTCCTCGCTCGGTCTCGGTCGTAACGCACGCAGGCCGGCACCGGGCACTTGCATGATAGGCGGGCCGTGCCACATCACCCGTAGACCGCGCCCATGGCGATAGATAGAGTGGGCAATGCACGGGCTGCTGCAGATAGAACGCGGCCGGCCGGGGCTGCTGCTGATAGATAGAGATAGAGACGCTGTTGGCTGGTGTCGTGCAGCGTGGGTAGGTAGGCTGTGCGGACTGAGAGAGCAGACGTGCATACAGAGAGACGCTGGCGGCCGGCCGGGGCAGGGGGCTGCTGCTGATAGGTAGTAGAGATAGAGATCGAGACGCTGCTGATAGTGATAGAGTAGCCGGCCGGTGCAGACCACGCACGCCTCGCGCTATAAAACCCGAGCCAGTGGGCGAGGCCAATCACACTCGCATCCAACCTCGGATCGGTCGATCAGCCGGTCCGTCCCAACCTCCATAGTCCATCCCTCCTCGAGGCTTCAGCTTCTGGAAAGGAAGCATGTTCGGGCACCACCACCACCACGGCCACGGCGGGCACCAGGCCCCGCCGCCGCCGCCCCATGAGCAGACGCTGTACAGGATCTTCTGCCGCGCCGACGAGGCGTACTGCCTCACCGTGCGCAACGACGCCGTCGTCCTCGCGCCCACCAATCCTCGCGACGAATCCCAGGCATGCTATTGCTTTCTCTCTCTGTCATCGACCGAGATCAATCTTGTTGTGGTCATGGACATGGATCCGGTGTGTGCTTGACACGCACTGTGCCTGCGCGTGTGCAGCACTGGTACAAGGACATGAGGCACAGCACCAAGGTGAAGGACGCGGAGGGCCAGCCGGCGTTCGCGCTCGTCAACAGGGCCACCGGCCTCGCCATCAAGCACTCGCTCGGGCAGTCCCATCCTGTAAGTACGCCGGCCGGCCGTCGCACCGTGTATGTTCTCATGCCATGCGTTGCGATCGTCTCTCTGACCCACCGTACGTGTTGTTGCACGCCACACATATGTATATGCAGGTGAAGCTGGTGCCCTACAACCCGGAGTACCTGGACGAGTCGGTGCTGTGGACGGAGAGCCACGACGTGGGCAAGGGCTTCCGCTGCATCCGCATGGTCAACAACATCCACCTCAACTTCGACGCCTTCCACGGCGACAAGGACCACGGCGGCGTGCACGACGGCACCACCGTCGTGCTCTGGGAGTGGGCCAAGGGCCCCAACCAGAGCTGGAAGGTGCTGCCCTGGGGCGACGAGGCCTACGCGCCGCGCCCACCAGGGCCGGAGCCAGGCTACGGCGGGTACCGCCCCCCGCCGGGCGGCCCAGCTGCCGGGGGCTACGCGCCGTCCCCGCCAGGGCCGTACCCACCGCCTGCCCAGCCGGAGCCAGGCTACGGCGGTTACCGCCCCCCGTCGGGCGGCCCAGCTGGGGGCTACGCGCCGCCACCGCCTGTGCAGGAGCCTGGCTACGGCGGCTACCCGCCGGCTCCGGGCAACCCCGCCCCGGGGTACGGGCCCCCCGGGTACGGCAACCTGCCTCGCGCGCTCGCGTCTGAGCCCACCGTGCGCGTCTTCTGCAAGGCCGGCGACGGGTACAACCTGACTGTCAGGAACGGCACCGTGTGCCTGGCACCAACCAACCCCAGGGACGAGTTCCAGGTACGTACTGCAGCAAGATCGATCGATGCTCTATGATGTGCCATGATAAGATCGAACATACTAGCTAGCTATAGGATGTCGATGATCTGATTACTACTAATGTACGGAGTAAAATGTGATCTTGGTTGGTTGGTTCTTCGTGTACCTAGCACTGGGTGAAGGACATGAGGCACAGCACTCGCATCAAGGACGAGGAAGGGTACCCGGCGTTCGCGCTGGTGAACAAGGTCACCGGCGAAGCCATCAAGCACTCCCTGGGACAGAGCCACCCGGTACGAACGATCCATCACTCATCAGTTTTCACTTCAACTAACCAACCAATGCATACAAACAATCTTGCGTGCGTGTGCAATGCAACTTTCTTTCTTTCTTTCTTTCTTCTTCTTCTTCTTCTTCTTCTTCTTCTTCTGTCTGTTAAGTCAGTCTGTCAGTCAATATACTTGTTGGCACGTACCTGCCTACTTTCCTGATCGTTCAATGGGCGTCGTCACAGGGTGTTGAACTTTGCTTGTAAATTGTAGGAGGACATAGTAAGTACTAGGTAAGTAGGTAGTCCTATGTGTGTGTATTTTCAACTGCTAGCTCTATCCAATCTTGAATAATTCTTGGTGCTATCTGACGGATGGATGGGTGATCGAACATTGGTAAATGCATTGACATGGATCCATCGTCGGCAGGTTCGCCTGGTGCCCTACAACCCTGAGTACGTGGACGAGTCGGTGCTGTGGACTGAGAGCCGCGACGTCGGCCACGGCTTCCGCTGCGTGCGCATGGTGAACAACATCTACCTCAACTTCGACGCCTTCCACGGCGACAAGGACCACGGCGGCGTCCACGACGGCACCACCGTCGTCCTCTGGGAGTGGGCCAAGGGCGACAACCAGCGCTGGAAGATCCTGCCCTGGTGTAAGTGTTCCAATAATACAAGTTGCCTTCCAGTCTATTCCATGCATGCATTACTGTATATTATCCTTGGAGGATTCATTATTATTTTTCCATCATCAGTTCAGCATATACGACAGCACATCCGTCCTCGGATGCTCCGATCCGTTGGCAGTTTATGTCCTCGGATGCTCCGATCCGTGTCCTCGGATGCTCCGATCCGTTGGCAGTTTATGTCCTCGGATGCTCCGATCTGTATATTGACTAGTTTTGTACTATTATGTATTGCAGAGATGAAGCCATCCAAGCGCGGCGTTGAGAGGATCGACCGGATCGGAGGAACCTTACCTTGCTGCTGTCTCCGTCCTCCGCTCCATGTCGTTGATCGAGTCGTTCTAGTTATCTTTCTGTTTTCGTGTCGGTTCCTGAATGAACAATAATAATATAGGAGTACTAGTTGTTGTCCATCAGCGTGCGACCATGTCTGAATCTGATCGTATCTTGCTGGTTGCTTGCTGCTGCTACTTCTGTTCGGTGTTCTGAAAGACTTTCGAGTATATGTTGATGCTGAGTTTCCATTCACTGATCTATCCTTTCGAGTATGTTGATGCTGCTACTTCTGTTTGAGTAATTTGCTGTCCGCCCGTGGAATTGTGGACCGAAGATCGATGGGCGATGCATGAGCTTCATTCAGAGTTTGAGTGGTTCTGAATTTCTGATGAGGAAGGAATCTACCGCACTGCATTTCTCATTTTGACATTTGCTGTGCTATGTACCGTGCCAGGTCCCTACAACAGCAACCACTGGTACTTGCAATCTTTGGCCTAGTTTAGTTAGTGAATTTTTTTGGGAAATAGTACTATAACACTTTTGTTGTTATTTAGCAATTAGTGTCCAATCATAGTCTAATTAGGCTTAAAAGATTCGTCTCGTGAATTTCGTCTAAACTGTGTAATTAGTTTTATTTTTTATTTATATTTAATGCTTCATGCATGCGTCCAAAGATTCGATGTGACAGGAAATCTTGAAAATTTTTGTAAAATTTTAGAAACTAAACAGACACTTTATTTGCGTTTGTTTTGTTTTTCTCTGCTCGTGTCAACTTCGACGACGACTGCTAACGGACTAAGGCTGTCTTGGACGGGAGATCTATTGGGATACTCAAATTCAAAATATGTCTCTAGCAGGAGATATATAGCCTACAACAGAGTACTTATATGGAACACTCATTTTAGGTGTTAGGAAAAACATAATCCAAATCTGAGTATCCTCTCACCTGGAGACCCATTTGCAGAAAAGGTTATCTTTTGGATCATGTTGTTGGAGAAGACCCAAAATAGATATTGAACATTTTACCTGTAACACTGTCCAGAGGACACCCTTAAATTTTAGGCTCCGATTTAAAATCCTCGAGTGACGTGCGCAGATTTCACGGGTCAAACCAGCCGTGCCCAAGGCTCCAAACGTTTTCAGAACTTCACCCGTCTGGATAGTTCGGAGTAGTTTCAGAGTGTTCATATTGTGTACCAGATGCAACGCGATATACGCTCTGAGCCATACAGAGATTGTGGGACCCTTTCCACTTTGATAGCTGCACCTAGCTAGGCAGGCGCGAGCGCGGAAGTGCCCGGATTAGAGGATGTGTGCTCATAGGAATCGAAACTATACATGGCCTGTGAGTGTATGGTGGACAAATGCTAATAGCAGAAATTGTGACTGATCATCACCTATATAAGCACTTGCTGTTCTTTCCCACCTCGGAAAAATAGCACGTCGGAACCCATCTGATTGACTGAGTCGGTAATGGTTGATGCAACTTTCAGAATGTAGCAGGTATTACTGGGGCCTGTTTAGTTCCAAAAAAATTTGTATAGTACCCATCACATCGAATCTTACGACACATGTACGTAGTACTAAATGTAGACGAAAAAAAACTAATTGCACAGTTGGATGAGAAATTACGAGACGAAACTTTTAAACCTAATTAGTCCATAATTAGACACTAATTGCCAAATACAAACGAAAGTGCTACAGTAGCCAAAACCTAAAAAAATTTGCATCTAAACGCCCCTACTAGTATAACGTGGGAGAGATTTGATTGTTTTTTCCCCACCAATGACAAGACAACAAGCCTGTTGCCTGATCATTAGTTGCATTTACTAGCTCTGTTATTTTTTAAAAAAAAGGGGGAATTCAGTTTTGTTGGGCCTATATGTATGCATGCCAAATTTCATTAGTACTCGCCAAGTCAGGCTGTTCCCTGTTAAACGGGGGCTCAAATTCTACAACATGCCACCAAAAATATAAACACCGGTGATGCAAAGTCGTTTGTTACCACCATAACACTGAAAGTCTTAAACGATTGACGCACCACTCTGACGACACCAGGAGTTGTTGAGACGTTGCTAAAGATGTCACGGGATGAGAACTTGAGATGGACACGTTCTACATTATTGGGGGCTTCGAGCTTTTGCACAGGGAGAAGGCATTTGGCTGGACATGCCTTGTCTGACGACGCAATCGACAAACCTACCTGACCTGCATACCACCGTCCTGATAAACCCTGCCTTGCCTTACAAACTGACAAGAGCAAAGCTCTTCCAGAGAGTTGTTGTTCCATGGGATTGCTAACCAAAACCTTCACCAAACCACACCGGGACAGAGAGAGGGTTTACCACTGCAGTTACAGCGCGTCCTACCTTTTTCGGACGTCCGCAGGACACATGTTTTTTTTAAAGGACGGCAACAAAAACTTTGCCACGATTTCTCTCAGAGGAAAAAAAAAGGCAGGTGCCCGTTCAAATTTTCAAGCAAAAACTAGGTCTAAAAACCATACAACTGAGGAGAGTGCACCACTCATCATAACAACTTTGATACAAACAACTGGACAACTATCACAACTCACACCACTGCTTGATCCAATTTGGTCAAAAACAACCGAACTAACAACTCAACTAGCAACTAACAAGGACCGAAGAAACGACATCCTGCCAGGCACCACCAAACAGCACTGCAAAGATCAACCGTGAAACTGGAAAGCCTAGCCATGCCCCCAAGGGAAAAACGACGCTAAAAACGCCAACATGGTAGCCCGTCAAGGGAAGGTTTTCACTTACAACATCCAGTACGGTAGTAGGAGAGGTAGGAAATGACACCTTCAAGAAGGGAATAGCGTCCGCAGACGTTGTCGTCCAAGCTTTCGCCCCAACCTCAAATCACCGCCACACCGTCACAGCCAGAGGCCCAACCCTACCAGGAGGCAGGTGCGGCAATGGTTCAGTAGCAGCCCCGCCTAGCCGCCGCCCCTAGGGACGCCGACCAGGAGGAAGCGTTGGGGGAACCCGCCGGAGAGTCCGCCCCCCCGCAGCAACCGGCAAAGCTGGCCAGCAGCAGGCAGAATCGGCCAGCACCCCCATGAAAGCTAGCTTGGGGAAGGGGAAAGGTAGATGGCGGGGAGAAGAGGGCCGGGATCAGAAGCAGACCCAGTCGCCCAGCCCACCAACGTCCTCACCCCTGCCGAGCCGGCCCCACAACAACCGTGCCGCGCAACATCTCAAGCAACTTTCGCGCTGAACTGCCGCTGTCACGCCCGCTCCCCAGCCCTCCGTGGATCTAGGACAGATCACTTCACTGGAACCGGGTGAGGAAGACGCAGGGTGCCGCAAAGGGAACGCCAAGCACCAAGCGCTCGCAGCCCCCGGCCACTGGCGCTGTTCCCAACGCCCAGGCTGGAGCCACGCTGTTGCCGCAAGGGCACCCCGCCAGATCCGGTGAAGAACCACCGGATCCAGCCAGCAGGCCACCGGATCCGGCCACAAGCCTCCGGATCGAGAGGGAGGAGGCCGGCGCCGGACCATTTAGAGTCGGGCGCTGACGGGTCGACGGAGGTCGCTTGCGCAGGATGGAGAGGCAGATCCGGGCATGGGGGCCTGGATTCACCCTCACCGGCGCCGGCAGCGCCACCCGCCGGCTCCCCCATGATGGCGCGAAACCACCGCAAGAGCTCCAAGGGAGGGAGGGAGGGAGGGAGGGAGGAAGAGGGCCCATCCGCCGCCTTCCTTGTCGTCCGCTGGACCTCCGGCGTCGGGCTTTGGCGGCAGCCAGGCCGAGGAGGCGCGCGGAAGGCCCCTGCGGCGGCGGCGGTGAGGGTGTCGCCCGAGTCTCCCTCATGGAGAGCGACGTGGGGGCCTTGCAGGAGTCGCATCTTGTATCCTGCAGGACACATGTTACGAGCAAGGTTTTTTAATTTTGGTATATTGGAAATGCCGCCCGGGAATAACATAAAAAATACAAAATATACCTTGTTTCAAATTTATATACTGCAAAATTCAAGTAGAATATCAAATCAATATATTGTTATATTGTTTATACTGCTAATATATACTTGCAATATGGTGCATTCTAAAAGTTCTCGTCATTCTTCAAACTTCAAAGAACGACACACATTGATGTCAACTTTCACCCCAGATCATGGATGCTCCCTGGAAGGAAAAATTCAACAGGGATTGGCCCTTCATTCGACCTGGAACACATGAAGCCATTCCAGTACAAAATTTTATTCTCCAAATCTTCTATCCTGAGCAACAAGTACTAAGAGACATTGTGTTCAGTATGGGTCAAGCCCATTCTATCATGATGATTAGGGATGAAAACGGATTGGATACAAACGGATATCACTGATATTACATTTGTTTTCATATTTCTGTCCGGATTCGGATTCGAATACGGATAGTGTCAACCATATCGGATAGGATACGATTGGATATCGACATCATAAATATGCGATTTGAGTATTCGGATACGGATACGGTATCGGATGTTGAATATCCGGACTCGGATACGAACAGATCTGAACCCCTTTAAATAGATTCGGTCTCGAATACGGTCGGAAAATATCCGTACCGTTTTCATCCCTAATGATGATACAGCAAGGCCCCAATAAAGAAATAGGCATATAGCACTACACTTCACAGAGTGCACCTCAATTTGTTTGCTCTGTCCTCTCTCTCACAATCCCCTTGTCGAGCAGAGGCGGATTTGTCCCCGGACCCGAGGAGCCCCCCTCGCTCGGGCGAGCCAGTGTGTCCGAGGTCTAAATGTGATTTTGGATATTGAGCCATGTGTAAAATTTGTACATGCGATGCATTGCGCTCTGCACGTTGATCCTGCCGAATATCTTATGTTTGTCGTTAGCTTTTAGGTGATTTGGTCGTAGTTGTGAAGGAGCCGTTGAGGGCGTCCGTCACTGTTGTTTTTATTTTAAGCTTT